CAACCAGTTATTAGGAAAATAAAAGAAAGAGAGAAAGAACTAAAATATTGAAATACTTTGAAAGACTTTTACTGCGATATAAAAACGAGAAATGAACACAAACTCTATCCCTAACGCTAGCATTGATCTGACTTTAAAGGAAATATTGTCTCAAACATAGCATAACATTATATGAATGATTAGATTAATAACCATAATCTCGACTTTGAATTGAAACATTTAAATTAATTCAATAGTGAAAAGTTATTTTGTAAAATTTCTTTTTTATTTTAAGTCATATATTAATATATGGAAACACTCTTTGCAGACAATTTTAAGCACAAAAGAAAAACCAGTTTTTACTGATAGGTATTCATATGAAAAGAAAGTATATATACACAGAAATATCCGCCCAATGAATGGTCGATCCAAATAGAGGTGCTCTCGAGGGTGAAGACTGTCTGTTCCGTTACTACACGTCAATAGAAAGTGTATCCACAAAGAGATAGTCGTCCCTTCCATGCGAGCCCCTGGCTCTCAAACCTTCATTATTGATATTCACTGGTGTATTGTGTCTAAAATTGATATCTCATTATATTTTTGTTTAATAATCTCGAAAATACTGATTTATTTTCAAGATTATACACAATTCTGTGAATAAATTACTCGTGATTTGCGAAACGATTTTTCCTTTGGGATTAGATGTGGTGATTGACTTTTGGAGTCCATCAGCACATACCATACCATACTATACCATATCATATCATACCATACCAGTGCACATCTCACGCATACCTGTGTAGTGACAGTTCCAGTCAAGAGTCTTATCCAAGTCTTGTATTTCAAGTTTGTGTTGCAAAAAGGTCTGTCTATGTGTGAGTGCCCACCAAAACACACACAACAACACAATTAGTTGTTATGTTATGTTAATTATGTTTCAAATGTGAGTTTCAAAACATATTTACACTTAAGAGAGAGTTAAGGAGAAAAGCCATAAGTTTCTGCGCGTATAGTAAACACTCGTATATATTGTATGACAATTGAGTGGTGAATGAAATTCATATAAAAGTTATTTTTCTACACTTTTGTTGTGAGTCACACACCTTTCGGTGCATACAATCGTAATCATAAGACTTTGAGCAAAAAAAATTAATTATAATTTTTTATTGCTTTAACACATTGCATTATTTGTGTCCAAAAGTGTGAAATTGAGACAAAAAAATAACAGTCATTATTATTATTCACCGAAAAAAACAGTTGTATTTTTCGTATACTTACTGACAATACCTACGGACCCGTGTATTAAGCCGTATATGAGTGGTGTGTATATGCTATGCAATCGCCAAATGAAATCAGTATTTGATTTGATGATAGTTTTATAAAATACAAGGACAGCCAACGTGTGTATAAATCTTTGCGAAAGTGTATATATTCTGTATATTTGTGTAGAAATATTTGAAAATTAAATATATTTTATACTTCAAAGATCTGTTGCTGTGTCTCGAGTGGAGTGCGCTTTTTGACGGCAAACTTGTCCTCCAGTTTTTGCAGCTTTTATTTTGTTTGCCAAGAAATAAAAAGTTTAATTTTGAGCGGATTTTTGCTATTAAGACATAGATTGAGATATAGGAGAGAGATATTGAGAGAGCATTAGAGAGAGAAAGATAGCGAAAGACAGCGAAAGACAACGAAAGACAAGTGAAAAGAGAGAGAAAACTATTTTCATTTCATTCGCTCATTTCAATGACTCCGTGAATGTTATCTCACTTTTTATAGCATTTCTCATTCATTCACTACTGGTTTTTGTGTTCAGATATTGATATTNCGAAAGACAGCGAAAGACAACGAAAGACAAGTGAAAAGAGAGAGAAAACTATTTTCATTTCATTCGCTCATTTCAATGACTCCGTGAATGTTATCTCACTTTTTATAGCATTTCTCATTCATTCACTGGTTTTTGTGTTCAGATATTGATATTATTTATGAAATTATAATTTCATGTTCATTTCATTATTGTTTTGTGTCATCAATTGTATTTTTGGTATTCAATTTGTTTGAGTATTTATGTGTTTATAATTAACTTTTCGCAACACAATAAGTCTGACATAAGTCTGTGAATAATATTTATTGAGTGTTGTTACACACAATTGTGAATTGAAAAATTATTTAATTTTTTATTGATACCAAACCTCGCATTTTGTTTGATTGTGAATAATGTCTATCAATAATATGCTTTTTGCTGATAAAACCATCCTAAGCGTACAGTAAGCTATATTTTATTACTAATTTCATTTCATTTATCAATAATACTGAATTTTTAATTGTCATGCTAAGTTCATTATTTTAGAAATTTGTTTTATAGCAAGATATAAACATTTTATGATATTATTGTGTGTTAATAATCTCATTGATTGCCAAATTAGACCACTAATTGTTGGCATAAATAATAGATCTCTTTATTATAGTTATAATTTATTTATATAAAACTTTTATGTCAGTAAAGAAAATTCAGGGAAGAGTTATATATTATAGTATTTGAAAGTTTTTTGTTCACTATATTCAATTACAAATAGATTTCAAATTAGATTAATTGTAACAATTGTTCAGCCATTGAATTTATACTCTAATATAAATTGAATAATTTTTTCCTACCATTCAAATAATAGTATTTTATTTACTATTATTTTGTGTATAATTCCCACAAAAAACAATTCACTAGTGTTTTGCTCTAAATCTCCAGATATTTCACATAATTATTATCCAAAAGAATTAAATAAAAAGTTTTATTTATTTAAAAATAATTCACTCTAACTATAGTTTAATTTAAGGATAAGTCAAACAAGAATAAAACCTAATCATAAATTAATTACTTATAATTGTTATACAATTGTTTAGTAATTGTATGATAAATGCAATAAAACAGAAAAAACTGAAAAAGTTTTGCTGAACAGAATAGAAGTCAAGAAAATTAGTGAAAAATAAGTTTTAATTAAATGTAAGACAAACATATATTTATATTATACATATACAGTATTGTATTTTGGTTTGTGTGATGAAAAGTATACCTTATTATACAGGTTTTACCTCAAATAAATATTTTGCACCATACTTTTTAAATAATAACACAAATATATGTATCATTTAGCAAACAATTAAAAGTGTATCTAAAATATTTTACAAGTTTTGTAACATATGCTAGCTTTTAATATAACTGTTAGTACGTGTACTACGAAACAAATGCCTGTTAATCAAGATTATCGTGATTTTAATCTAATCTGTTTTGATAACATCAGGGACAGTGATGTTGTGGTCGATTATTTTCAGTCGCATTGGAATAAATTGCGTGATCAGGCTATAAATCAAGACCTGACAGTGATCTCCATTATAGTGACATTAATGCTTTTGTTGCATTACATCGCCCACAGCAAGTGAATAGCACTAATACACCACCGATTCTTGCATATGTATGGCCCAACTGACCAGGATTACTCTACATTATCAGTACAAGTGTCTTACCAGGGAATCACATGCACCGTCAACAATATCTATGTCCTAATTATTATCAAGAATTTAATATTAATATTTATAATAATCTAATGAATACTCTATTTATTTAGCGTTTCAAATGCCATACTTTCAGATGCATATAATATGTTAATATTTTTTTCGTATTGAGTATATTGTGTTGTATAATAGTTGTACTAATAGTTAATTCCTTGATCTCATATACTATTAAATTGTTTTCCACTCCCGAAGTCATTGCTAATTATTGTTTCTATATTTTCTAATTCAATTAATCGTAAGAAAAGGTCTTTTTGTGCACAAAATTTACCTAAAAGTGAGACTAAAATATTATTTCAAGGATTTTTTCATAGGCTAACAAATGAATGATTTTTTGTGTAATTAGCAAAATAGCTATAGGTGTATGCACTTAAAATGTACTTACAAATATGTTTTGATCAATTGATCGGGAAAAATATTTATAATTATTTTGTCAACAAATAATAACTTGTATTAAAATTAAAACCAAAATTGTATTTTATATTCTCGTATAAAATGTATGTTTATTGTGATGTTTTTTGATTGAAATATAATGTAAAATAAAAAATCTATTTTGAATCAAATCAAATGCATAAAACTCACTGTTTTTCACGTTTTGTTTGATGAATGCTTTTGTAATCCATTATATCTATTATGAATACTTCAAAGGCATTCAATTGTTTTGTCCATCAATTTGTGGTAATTTAACCGCAATTATTAAACAAAATACAAATGAGAAATACATTATAAATAATACCTATTTTTGCTAAAAATCTTTAATCATTTATATTAAACAACACTCTTATTAGCCTTGAATTGAGTGCTTATAGTCTTATCCACTGTTTTACGTGACTATCGATGCAATTGACGTCTTGAAGACCAAAATTACTACCAATTTATCAGTCATTAGATCTGCGAAAATGAAATACATATCCGATCTTTCCATAAATACTTGACCTACAGGTGTGTATAGGTATGTGCTATGGAGCACCGGTAGACAAATGGACTGAAAAATAAGTTTATTTCCGACATAAATACTTATCACGACATAAATGTATATAAAAACTACAGTTTTATTTGGGATTAAAAATAATATTTATGTTATTATCTATCGATTGAAGACATTTCGAGATGTGGTTTGAATTCAATTTTTGATTTTCGGTTTTCAATATAAATATATATATTTTCTATTTATACAATTCAATGGATATAATAATTGACTAACAATTTAAGGCAATAAAATTTTGTTATTTAAGATATAATTTTATGTTATCGTTATTCTCTACTGTTTTAATGGATTTTCAAAATAGTTGACCACTTTTTCTGATGTATGATTGAAATATTTTAAAAGTTTTAATGTATTGACTGGTATTGACTAGTATTTTGGGGTGTTTTTAGGTGTTTTCAGTAACCAAAAGTGTATTTTAGTTCAAAATTAATGTCTTAAAACTAGTTTTTAAAATTAATACCTTTTTGTGTGCTAATGATTATTGAAAATCACTTGACTTTAAACT